TTGCTTACACTGTGCATTACTGACCTCTGGCGGACATGCTGTTTTTAGTGTTCATGAAATCAACTGTAGGCCTTAATGAAAAATAAAAATCGGCAAAAACACTTAGTGCACGGCAAAATGTGTTTTTAATAAGAAACATTTGTTGACAATGATTTGGTCCAAATATAATTAAAGCACCCTAATGATTGCTGATGACGCACTTCACCTCCCATTCCATTTTATTTAGCCTACATTTATACTTCTCTTCAGAGGCAACTGCTTACAAACCCGTTTTACCGTTTTTGGTAACATTTTAGAATAATGGCACATTGCTAACAAAAAACTATGCAGGAAGTAATAGGTAGCCTACTACATTAACACTGAACTTAATAATACTAACTAATAGAGAAGTAAGATTAACTAAGCAGTAAGTAGTAGCAAATTTATGACAAAGGTACTTCCTTATTAGGTATTCAATAATTACTAAATAAAAACAACCCCTCACTGAGAACTACTTGCTAACTATGACCAATTAACAAAGAACAACCAATTAATTACTAATCACAACAGTAACATGTCTAAAACGTATTAAATTACTTGTGAAATTGATGTCAACTCCTCACTAATAATTGGTTTTTCTTTATTAATTGGTCATAGTTAGCAAGTAGTTCTCAATGAGGATATTTTTATTTATTATTGAATGCCTAATAAGGAACTACCGTTGTCCTAAATTTGCTATTACTTACTGCTCAGTTAATATTGCTTCCATATTGGTTAATAGTATTAAGTTGTTTTTCGAGTGACTTAATTTACAAAGTGTTTGAAACTTGTAACAAATTGGTGCAAAAATAAATAAATAATTCATGCTTCAAGCTTTTTTCTTTCTTTTTTTTTTTGTCATTCCCATATGTAATCTAAAGGGGTGCATGTAATACAAAGATCTCTTCACACAATATGAGTATATGTATCAGATTTTTATTATAACTCATAGAATATGCCTGGAACAAAATGGCATGAGATTTTGGAATGTAAACGATTCCATCACACATTTATACTCAACTTTTCGCAAACTGGGATAACCGGTCAAACAGACAATAAGGAATGTTCATAAGCAGGCCACAACAATACAACGAATGAAAAAAGAAGGAATTAAAATGTCTGCATTTGTTCCCACAAGCAAGAAAAGAGTTTAATCATGAACATTTTCCAATAAATATTAACTAACTACGGGTGATGAATTGCCTTTTTGTGCAACGGCAGAGAATGTGCAGGGCATTCATTAAATAACGTCAATGCAATCTGTTGGTATAAAAAAAGCAACACAATTCAACTTATGTTGCCAGAAGATGTTTGAGGTAATGCATGAAAGCAGTTCAGACAGGTGGGCATAAAATACAATCATTCAAATGAGAGCCATGAGATATCATGGCTAAATAACATCACGGCACAAAGCTGAACATTGGAAAAGCAATATATATCACAAAATCAAGGACTGAATGCCATATTCGTGGATAGAGTAGCAGAAATAAATAAAATAAAATAGATAAATGAAAGGCATTTAGATGTACACATTGTTATATAATCATCATCCAGGGCTGTGGAGTTTGTATATGGCTGTTAAGATTGTGAATGATGTTTCTATCTTACACCATGTCGAGGCTACAAAACGTAACGAAACAAAAAGCTGATAATACTCCACTATTAATAAATCATCATCATTTGTAGATTCGTCTTTTCGACATACTTTTAACAATAGGTAATTGCTTTGATGGTTACAATTACAGCTACACATGAATTGTCACAACATCTGGCACCTAACAATAGCTAACACCACTATAACTGATTGTTTCAAGAAGTTCTGGTTAGTGGTACAAAAACAATAGTTATGCTTACGTAAAAGTTATATTTATCTTTCTGAGTGCTTCAGGTTTTCTGCTAAAGTGGCATTCTGTGATTGTTCCCTTTTTCTTCCTTCCCAAGTTACAATCAATTTCAATATTTGTCAGTTTATTATAATCTGTTCAGATGAATTCAGTTCCAGGTTTGGGTTGGTCACATACTCTTTTAGTCTATTTTTAGTCAAATAAAATGTAATATTCAAAGTGCTCAGTCTACACACTATTACCCGGCACATCGTCACTTTCACCACTTACTTTAAAGCAAGAAAAAAACAACAAAATAAATAAAAACATGATCAAATGTTTTTTACATTACCAAGCAATTATATTTATATATTTATGTTAATGCTATGCATCAAATAAGACGACTGCGAAGGCTTCATAAAAAAAAAAAATCACTAAAACTATTAAACGGACTGATCACGTGAGGAATGGAAAGCTGATAGTTCCCTTTCATAGGAACTTCGAACTGCATCCTCTAGGGGTCGCTATGGAGAACGCCTCGTCGTGACCAGTGTCTGAAGTATAGATTGAAAAAACACCAACAACACGTTGGCCGGCTATTTATCTTTCTGAGTGCTTCAGGTTTTCTGCTAAAGTGGCATTCTGTGATTGTTCCCTTTTTCTTCCTTCCCAAGTTACAATCAATTTCAATATTTGTCAGTTTATTATAATCTGTTCAGATGAATTCAGTTCCAGGTTTGGGTTGGTCACATACTCTTTTAGTCTATTTTTAGTCAAATAAAATGTAATATTCAAAGTGCTCAGTCTACACACTATTACCCGGCACATCGTCACTTTCACCACTTACTTTAAAGCAAGAAAAAAACAACAAAATAAATAAAAACATGATCAAATGTTTTTTACATTACCAAGCAATTATATTTATATATTTATGTTAATGCTATGCATCAAATAAGACGACTGCGAAGGCTTCATAAAAAAAAAAAATCACTAAAACTATTAAACGGACTGATCACTTGAGGAATGGAAAGCTGAAAGTTCCCTTTCATAGGAACTTCGAACTGCATCCTCTAGGGGTCGCTATGGAGAACGCCTCGTCGTGACCCGTGTCGGAAGTATAGATTGAAAAAACACCAACAACACGTTGGCCGGCGACAGCCATGACGTCACTACCGGTGCGACTATAGTATAAATAGGTGCCGGGAGAACACATCATCCTCTTCTTCGTCTTCATTGACTGTTTTGTTTGAAGCGTGCATTTCTGTGGTAAGAGCGATCTCTATTCATATCGTTATGGCGAGCACTAGCAAAGCATTTAGAGGTTGTGTGCATCCGTGTTGTCGTTGTTTAACATCTGATGACACACACGATCTATGCGTTATTTGTTTGGGCGAAGAGCACGCACGCGATGTCTCCGAGGGAGCAATCGGCGTGCACTGCGAGCGTTTTTTCCAAGGGAAAAAGCTCCGCTCTCGTTTGGGGCCAGTGCTCTGCTGGGTTCGGCCCAGCAAAAGCAGGAAATGTCTGAGGGGGGCAAAGAAGCTGAGGCTGAGCCTTCCCAATCCTCCTTGCCCTGCGTATGATGAGCTTTGAAAGTTATGGATCGTGCCACGGGAAGGCTTTACTTGCCGTGAAGCGGGCGACGTCATGGCTGTTGCCAGCCAACGTGTTGTTGGTGTTTTTTCAATGTATGCTTCAGACACGGGTCACGACGAGGCATTCCCCATAGCGACCCCTAGTGGACGCAGTGTCTCGTTCCCTACTCAGGGAACCATGGTTACATACGTAACCTGAGACATTTTCCGGTGCAAAGCTTAGGAAAAGAGGAATTGCACATGAATTATACGAAACCAACCATAAAAAAGTGCATTACATATGTCAGATTCTTTAAAAAGGCTCGACATTAAACAAAATAGAACATCAACGGCTTAATACTAAACATTAGCAGTTTTTTTATCATAATAATGGTGCAACGGTTGCTCAATCTAAAAATGAAAGGCAGCAAGCAGTAATCCAGAGCACTCAGATCTAATAATCTAATAACATCTACAGCAGAACAGTTGAAAAGGCAACATGATAAATATATAATGCTTTAGCACAAACATGCCATCATCATAGACATCTCTTTTTATAGAAATAAATAGTTGAAATAAACTGTAATCTGTCTTTAAATTATTTCCATCTCTATAGGACTCTGATACACATTCAATATAAAGCATCTATCATACACAGCATACTGCAAATAGCTTTGAACTCTGAAAGTCATCTGGTCAGTACGGCCACCACACGGGAAACCACATGTGGCCGGATATCCGTTAAACACTTCAGGTTATCTCTTTCTTTAGGTTGCTTTACAAATATTTACACTGTTTGTAATTCCTTCCTATAGAAACAACATATACATACAGTTTGTGTTTGTTTAAAGTCTTCAGAAGACAAGAGTGCCAGCGCACTCAAAAAGTCATTGTGTGGGGTTGTGGGTGAAGGTGGTGGGTTTCAGAGGAACCTATCCCGCTTCTGCAATTTCTTTCTTGAAGATGGTTTTGCCGTTTCCATTCTGGTCCACATTGTCTCATTTTAAACAGCCATCATAAAGTAAACTCAGGCAGTTCGTGTGAATACTCCTCTCATGCTAATTCAAGCCCCATAATGTGTTTTAAGACAGGAAGTAGAACGTTGCAACATAGAGTACAGAATTTGGACTGTGTGATTTCAGCTCAGAGACTGGCCAAGGGCAGCAGCAATGCCTGATGGGTAATGGTACAGCACTGAGAGAGGTCGAGACCAGTACTTGCATCGGTATTATTGCATCAGCATGTTTTTTTAAAAAGAAACTTGACGAGAATGGCATATTCTAGTTTCTTTGTATGACTGACTTCCAGCTAAAACACATTTAAGTGCTTCATCACTCATTTCTAGAGTAATACTCCAACAGAAAGCAAAACCTCACATTTCATACCATCTACTTAAAAATGCACCAAAATATACCATAACCTTTTTTCATTTAAAAACAAAAGAAAAAGTTAACTCACAATGCTGGCCTTGACAAAACGAGGCTATAAATATTTAATCTTTTTGTTTTTTTTTTTCTTTTCATTTTGTAGTCTGGCATGGCCTAATATGGCTAGTTCATTTATTTCATATTTCCATCAAAAAACAAAGCCAAACCCTAACCTACACATTTTATAAGCGAAGTTCTTGTAGATACTGTAAAGAACCTAATGTAACAACTGTATATATTTGTTTTTATCCCTTCTATTCAATTGTGCAGTGTGTACATTCAGAACTCAGAATCAGAATTCTCCATTCAGCAGAGAATTCTACCTTTAGAACATGGAAAGTAGCATCTGAAACCTCACCCATTCAGTTGCACCAGCCCGAGTTCCACAGAACAGTGAGTGATGGAGACGTTGACATCTGAGGTGAAACAGTAGGGTTACATTGGACTAACAGCACCATGAGCTTGTCTCCATCCCTCACTATTCACCCTTAAATTCCTTTAGGTAAGTGCACACCTTGTAGGGTATGACTGAACACCTTTTAGACTAATGGCACATTGGATATGACCAAAATTCAACCTTAAAAACAAAACGTCGGAGCTATGGATGGCACCTTATGGAGAAGGCATTGCAAATCTGTCTGGAACAACACATCCAATGATGAGAAACAAACCCTTGCCAGAGTGACCCTGGTCATGGGAATACGGCTAAAGTACTGGAGGGTCTGACACGAACACAAACAGCTTGGCTTCTTCATTCAGTTTCAACTTGCGCTTAAAGACACAAGATAACTGCAGGTAATAGTAATTTCTGTGGCGACATGGCTTCCCCTAAATATAGTCTCTGTAAGCCATGTCTGAAGCTGGTGATTAGGTTATGTTGATATTTGTCCTAGTAATACGGCTGTCCAGACGCTCTTAAGTGACGACTAATGAACAAATGCGTCTCTTCGCTGAACATCGGGGGAAGCAATCGAGCTGATCACACAAACACACACTCCCACATTACTAACTTAGCCATGTGCATTTTAAATTTGTGCTGTTTGGATTTCACGTTGATTTTATGATTCAGGTCAATCTCGAATATGAGACTGCTCCCTCCTGCAGCTCTGTGCTCTGAAGAGAGACGTCATGCTCTCTGAGATCTTATTAAAAGTTTAGTGCGTTTGGCAAGCAGGAGAAAAATCCTTAGTCTGTAACTGGGTGACTGTTGGAAAGGCAGCCATGGCAAGTAATTATGCCTTCTCGTAGAGTTTGTTCGTATTGTCTTTACAGACTCCTCTATTTGGTTGCGTCATATCAAAGCTAACAGATGCTCCCGTCTTGTTGTGGTAGACTGGTGTTTAGAGTTCAAACTGAAGCGGAAGTGTTTGATTCTTCCTTGTTTCTTCGAGGAGAGAATGACTCGATCAGGTTGAAATATTCGGTGAACCTTTATGTGGCTCTGGCCTCAACACAGCAGAGTTAGCACAAGCCATCAGCCTTCACATGGAGGATTTTGGAGAAACCAGGTCTTTTTTTGAGTGCCTGAGAGGAGAAGACAGAAAGGATATAAAGGAACAGGTGTATATTGTATGTATAGTTTTTTTTTTGAGCAAATACAACAGTGAGGTCAGGTCTGATTTGGTGGGACATTTCAGGATTACATCAATCTCTGCTCTGCTGAAGCACAACTGACAAAGAACAACATACCTGTTGTTATTGTGAACGAAAACTTCAAAATTGTTTTTGGTAAGTGAAATATTGCTGAAATAAAATATAAACATTAAATGCTAAACTTAAGCCTATTTATTCTGGTTAATTAGCAAGGCAACATTTCTAATTTTCACTTTTTTCTATGTTTAAGTACTAAAATGACTAAAACTAAACCATAAATGAAGCTAAATATAAATGTAATTAAAAAAATAAAATATTAAAAAATATATAAAAATGACAAAAGCATATACAGTAGCAAAATTACTAAAATGTAAATAAATATATAAATTATATTATAATTTATAATATAATAAATTATACATTATAGTATTATAAATATAAATTATATATTTATATTTATAATACTTAATTTATAAATACTTAATTTTAAATGATAAATTATAGTATTATTTATATATATATAAAAATAATACTACAATAACACTGAATTCTATGTTTCAACCACAGAGATCAATATTCCATAGTATATCTTAAAATTCAAATTACAATTGTGCATTCTATTGCTTCAACAATTCAAATCCAATTCAGAAACTGGAATTTAAAGGAACAAAAACTCCTGGCAAATTCTGTTTTAATTGACTATTTTAATTGACCTTTATGATAAATTCCTTGTTTTGTTATTTATTTGTATAAGTGTCTCTGAATACAAAATGGAAAATTGCCTGGCAGTGCAGCATTAAATTGACATAATCTGAGATTTTAAAATAACTCCTGGTAATCATAATGTATTTTGATGGGTTCAACTGATCCTGTGATGCGTTAAAATCATATTTTGCTTTTTACAAAATGAAACAAGCTTCCATCAGCAGAGCCACACAGAGGAGCCAAATCACTGAGATGATACAGAGCTGGACATTTGAGGACACTATAAATTTGCTTCCACACTGATGGTGGAAATAGACCGTGGGCAGTTTCTGAACAAGTACTGTACAAAATATTTTTTTGAGCCTCTTATGGAAATGATATATGATGAGCAATGCACTCTGTCATCTACAGCGGCCCATTTCAGCACAGCTTGTGTAAGACATTCTGCAAGTAACTTTAGCTTGAGTTTTCACGTGGGTGGGTAACCCCACTTCCACTTCCTCTCCCAGCATATCTAGAGTCAGAACAGAGAAGAGGCAGCTTCCTGCGTCCTCAAATGAAGCAAATGGATGAGATGAATCACTTGCATTTGACTCATGGCTCCTCAACACGGCAGCTGTGAGAGGTTCTTCTGCTTTCAGTTACTCATCTTTAGCGCTGTCTCAGACACAGGAAACCCCATGGCCTGAGACTAAATTACTACCGAACAGCTTTTGCTGGTAATTTTAGTCTGGCAGTGGATAAACGGATATGGATGGGTCAAATTTTTTGATGGCCTCAGATGTCTCAAAAACCTATCTATGGAAATGATTCCATACCTGCAGCTTGTTCACCATTTCATCAAAGAGTTTTCTGGCCTCGGGACTGTTAGGGTCTTCAAAGTAATCTTCTATACCGATCTGGACTACAATAGACTTCAGGTTACGGCACACACCTGTGAGTAAGAGAGTGAGGGCAGGGAGTCATTTCACAGGAAGTGTGGGCGTATTTCATGTCATGCATAGCTCCAAATCTAAAGATATCACCAAACCCAATGTTTAATCCGAATTTATGATCACACACTTTTGGACACTATCATTTAAAATGAACTGCAAACACAGGAGAATATTCCTTAGTTTCTTGCAATTCAATAAATGCTAATTATTAAAAATGCAATAATTTATTAAGAATTAAATTATTTAATTATTAGAAAATAAATAATGTATTATTGAGAATTTAATATTTCATTAAAATATCAAATTAAGTTGTATATTTTAATAAAGCATGATTCAACATCTCTGCCTTTGAAATCAGGCTTCCACTGGTTGATACTTGGTTTAGATTAGAAACAATAATAACGAATCAGGATCTGAATCAGTGAGTGTGGACTCACTGTTGAAGTGAAGCAGAGCTTTAGGAGTAACAGGAGTGGAGGTGAGCACCAGCATCTCCAGACCCTTTAGTCCCTCTCGGCACATCTCAGCAGCCACTTCCTGATTGATCTCACTGACGTGGTCCAACTCTAGAACCTGGAGCCTCATGCAGTTCCTCGCTGGAGATACATACACACAAACAGTCTATTGGCACACTGGTATAACTGCATTAGTCATGAAAAAAAAAAAAACACTTCGCTCCAAAAAGCTCCAAAACAACAAAAACACTATAAACTTTGTTAACGTAGTTCATACTGAATGTGCACTATATTAACAACTCCGTTAAAGGGGTCATATGATGCTATTTTAAAGATCATTATTTTGTGTATTTGGTGTAACAGAATATGTTGACATGCTTTAATGTTCAAAAAACACATTATTTTTCAAATACGGGTACATTATTGTAGGTCCTCTATGCCCCGCCTCTCTCAAACGGGTCGTTTTCAACAAAGCCCCCTCCTTTGACAAACGCAGTCTGTTCTGATTGGCCAGCTGACCCAGTGCATTGTGATTGGCCGAACACCACAAGCACACGTCGGAAATGTAACGCCCCTTACCATAATCGCAGCTTCAGCTTTCAAAGTAAATATCAAGACAGTTAATAATGTCGTTAGTTTTACCATCAGTTCAAGCCCGAAAGGGCAACAGAGTCGCGGGACAGACACAGTGATGATGCAGTACACAAGCCGCGGTTAAGACAGCTGACGCTACTGTGATGTGACGCTGTCTCTCTCTCTCTCACACACACACACGCACGCGGACCCAGTTAACTGCCCGGTTGGTACAGTGCTGGAGTTCTTGCAGGCCCGTTTCTCCGCAGGGTTGACCCACTCCACCCTGAAGGTCTACGTGGCGGCTATTGCGGCCTACCACGCCCCTCTTGGTGGCCAGTCAGTGGGTAGACAACCCCTAGTTACACGTTTCCTCCGCGGTGCGCTGAGGCTGAGGCCTCCGGTACGATCTCGTGTCCCCACGTGGGACCTGGCTGTGGTGCTACAGGCTCTCTGTAGGCCTCCCTTCGAGCCTATTGAGGAGATATCTGATCGCCTCCTGACTATAAAAACTACCTTTCTTCTGGCGATATCTTCCCTCAAGAGAGTTGGGGATCTGCAGGCCCTTTCAGTGGCCCCGTCTTATCTAGACTTTGCGCCTGGTCTGGCCAAAGCGTTTCTGTTCCCACGAGCGGGATATGTCCCTAAGGTCCCCTCCTCTGCACCGCGGCCTGTCGTACTCCAGGCCTTCAGTCCTCCTCCCTTTGAGGATCCAGACCAGCAGAGGCTAAACTGCATGTGTCCGGTGCGTGCACTGGATGCATACGTCCACAGAACTGCCCTGTGGAGGAGGGCGGACCAGTTGCTTGTTTGTTACGGTCCCCCTAAGAGAGGTCTGCCGGCAACTAAACAGACCCTCAGTCGGTGGATAGTGGATGCCATCTCCAGCTGTTATGAGTCCTCTGATCTCCCTTCGCCGTTAGGGGTCAAGGTTCACTCAACTCGTAGTGTGGCAGCCTCTAAGGCTTTTTTAGCGGGTGTCCCGATGCAGGACATCTGCAACGCGGCGGGTTGGTCCACGCCCCTTACCTTTGTTAGGTTTTATGGTCTAGACTTGCGAGCCACTCCTGGCTCTTCTGTCCTCTCGCCCTAGCTGTGCAATCTTCCACACTCAGCAGAGACTTAGAAGTCTGGCGGCGTGGGCATTCTCGTTCCCCTAGCGTTTTCGACGCAGCTCGAGTTCCTGAAGAGGAACGCCTCAGGTTACGTATGTAACCCTAGTTCCTCGAGGGAACGAGACGCTGCGTCTCGGTGCCATACTTCCGGTGTCCCTGCCAGCGCTTGCTTCATTCCTAGGAGCTGACGCTGGTCTCACCGCACGTGCTTTTATAGCCTCCTGGTCATTACGTCACCCGCCGTGACGTCTCGCCCATCTATTGGTCTGATTACACACGAGGTTCAGAGCCCGTCACGCTGAAGGGCGTTCCCCCTAGCGTTTTCGACGCAGCGTCTCGTTCCCTCGAGGAACTAGGGTTACATACGTAACCTGAGGCGATCTTCTTTATGCACCAAGAGCTTGTAACACTCCAAAGAGAAAGGAAAACTTGAAATCGCATCATATGACCCCTTTAATAAACAGAACAGATGCAGTCCTTCTGAAAAGCGAGACACTGAGGACAGTAATTGAAAAAATCAGTTTAAATTTCTGATCAAGTTTTCTTAAGTGGTCTATGTACGGCTCAGATGATTTGAACATAGCTAACTGCAGTCTTGTGATTCAGAAAGGCTAAAACCATTAAATCTAAATGAGGATGCTACAGTAAAGTAGGATAAATAACAAGCAGAGTCGAAAATGGCTCATCTGCTATTTATAATCTATTTATAGTAAAACTGTATACCATAAACATGTGGCTCCGGGTTACTCACAGCAGCATGTTAAAAGTGTCATTTCCGATGTCTCTTTGTCCCAGTTTTTAATGTGAATAACAAGTTAGACTCTATGCTACATTGGTAATAGGTTTGAGTGATGTTCCCTTGCAATGCTGATCTGAGAACAACTGTATGGGGTAGTGTTATATTTAGATAAATAATTATTTTCAAGGGATGCTGGTCATAAATCAGAGCAGAAGAGGTATCAATAACCAAAGCATAGGTACTGCTTTTGAGAGAAAAATAAAGTAAAAACAGATAAATTAATAAAATATCAATACAATATAAAAAAAAAAGTTTCCTATTTAAAATATATTTAAGAATGTAATTTCTTTACGTAATTCATGGCGAGGCTGAATTTTCAGCATCATTACTCCAGTCTTCAGTGTCACATGATCCTTTCGTAATCACTCTAATATGCTGATTTGCTGCTCAAGAAACATTTCTGATTATCATTGCTGAAAACTTAATTCTTAATTGATGCTTAATAGTAAAATATGGAAAGGATGATAAATGTTTTCAGGATTTGAATAAATAGAATAAAAATAGAATGTTCAAAAGAACAGCATTTATTTAAAATAGACATTTAAAATAATATAAAAGTCTATTTCTATTTTAAGGTTAATGTTAGCCATTAACTGCAACTTTTGCCTCAGCAAACTCCGAATTTGCTGCTTATTAATAGTTAGTAAGGTAGTTGTTAAGTTTAGGTATTGGATAGGATTAGGCATGTATGTTCGTGCAGAATATGTGCTTTATAAGTACTAATAAACAGCCAAGATGTTAATAATAGGCATGCTAACAAGCAACTAGTTAATAGTGAGAATTGGTCCCTATACTAAAGTGTTACCGCAAACACTAGTTTACTTTCACTCACCCAAAGAAGCCAATCCCTGTATGCCACAGCCAGCTCCGCCCACACCCAGTGCTCGCAGGTGTGGCCAGCATCTGCCAATGGTCTGCAGGCACCTGTTACTGAAGCGTGCTGGCTGCTGACTGCAGAAAGACAATTTACATTTTCAATTATTTACATTAAACTTTAAAATATATATATATATTTTTTTCCAATATCAAAGACAAATGCTCAAAAAAGAAATATGATGATGCATTTAAATTTATACAATATTTAAGCTATCAAGCCATGTATAAACAAAAATCTACAACTGCCTATGAAACAAGTAAGTGTATTTCAATCCTACCATGGATGCAAAGGTGCCACCTGTAGTGAGATGATGTCTCTGCAACCAGCTCCCAAAGCCCAGATAACTTCTTGTCCAACAGGGTCTGTCGCACTCCTAAGACATCATCAAAATCAACATCCGAGAAACTTTCTCTCTCTGCCTTTGCAAACCTTGTTATGGCCCGGCAATGAGAACTAAGCAACCAAATACACTGATCAATATGTTAATTTCTACTCTGACCTGTACTATCCTTGGACATGATTAAAAAAAAGCTTTTTTGCTAATATACAGTTGTGGTCAAAATGATTAGAACACTAGCATTTTCACCAGCTAAAAATGGCTTTAAGTCAGTTATTTCTATCTTTTGCTGTAGTGTGTCCGTAAGAAATATCAGTTTACATTTCCAAACATTCATTCTGACATTAATTGTAATAATGACATGAAGAAACAGAACAAACTGAGACAGACTAAATCCAGAAGAACTGTGGCAACGTCTCCAAGATGCTTCAAGAAACCTACCTGCAAAGCTACAGTACTGTTAAAGTTTTAGGCACAAATGCTGTAAAATGAGGATGCTGTCAAAAATAATGTCATAAATAGATTTTTTATCATTTAACTTCTATTAAGTAAATTAAATCAACATTTGGTGTGACCAGCCTTTGCGTTTAAAGCAGCTTTTGCTCTATGTGCACCTGCGCATAGTTTTTCAGGGAGCTTTGCAGGGAGGTTTCTTGAAGCATCTTGGAGACGTTGCCGCAGTTCTTCTGGATTTAGTCTGTCTCAGGTTGTTCTGTTTCTTCATGTCATTCCAGACAGACTGGATGATGATCAGATCAGATCTCTGTGTGGAGCACTGGCTGTTGTCAGATCTGGAAATCTCACTGGATTATTACAATTAATGCCAAAATGAATGATTGGAAATGTAAACTGATATTTCCTACTGACACACTACAGCAAAAGATAGAAATAACTGACTTAAAACCATTTTTTCGCTGGTGAAAAAACTTGTGTTCTAATAATTTTGGCCACCACTGTATGTATGCATTTTATTATATATAACATAAGGATGTATGAAGGCCAAAAGGATGTTTGCATCCTTAAGGGATACGTGATACAATTTATTACTGCTTACTGAATAAATAATTAAATATACATGAAAAATTCATTAGAGTTGATATTATTTTCATCAAAGCAGTTTAGTAAAATGGTTTTCTAGCACAGTGGCTATTAATACAGTTTAGGAGTCATTATATTTAAATGCTTATGTATGCAAGTTTTGTGAGTGAACACAAAAGCATTGAAATAAAATGTTTCTGCCCATCTAATTTTTTAAATGCTAAATTATATCTAACAGTTAGTTAGTCATTGTAAAAATAAAAATAAAATGTTTTCATCCTTAAAGTATACATCATCCAATTCATTACATGATTGCTTACTGAATTAATAATTAAATAGATATGAACATTTTATTAGAGTTGATATTACTTTCATTAAAGCCATGTAGTAAATTGGTTTCCTGGGGACAGTGCTCATTAATACAGTTTAGGAGTCATTATACAATAACATCCGCCTGTAAAATGCTGCAACTGACCAATCAGAGTCAAGTATACCACAAAGCTGTGTAATAAAAGGATATATGGACAAAAAAGACCAAATAGTGCTCCCTTGTGGACCAACCTGTATGTGACAGCCTGTAGAGCCCTGCAATAACAGCTCGCCAACCACAGAGAGCGATCGGTCAATAGATTCGGACAATGAGACACCTTCAGGATGAGCAGATTACTGCCAGTAGCTTTCAACAAAGCCTCCAGACCCTCCTCAAGACAGCCACTAAACACAAAAGAAAAAGAGGCTATTAACACCATCTATTAACATGTCAGTTTATATTATGACTACAGTGACCAGACGTCTTAATAAAGTTATGACCCATACGCAAATGTAATACACAGCAAGTACATACGTTTTTGCTTCATAATATATAATATATATGAAAATGTAATATATGAAATCTATTAGAAATTGGAACTATTTGGGCCAGATTTACTAACAGCTTGCGCCAGCGCAAACCGTCTTTTGCCGTTAAAATAGTACTGTCAGGATTTACTAAAGACGCACAGTGAAGAATTAGTGCTGAAAAGGGCCTGACCTTATTTAATATGCATTTCAATCATGACAACTCTCGGAAGACAATGTTAATGTATTTGGTCTTGGCGGAATAGATTTGCTACGTTGCTGCTGCTGAATTGCTGCTGCTGTTGGTTATTGCTGTAGTTGTAGATTATTGCTGCTGCTGCAAGCAAGTACAGGAACTTGCTACTGCCAAAGCATACGGCGATACAGTGCTGTGAGTATTTAAGACATACTGCTGCTGCACAAATAGCATATTAAAATAACCCGTAGCAGATCTATACAGGTGGAGCTGGGGAAGGTGGTGGGTTTCAGAGGAACTCTGAAAGCACGCTGCAAATGCTCAAGTGAATGCTAACCAGCCATTTAAATGTAAAGTAGCAAGCTCATTGGCTGCGTATGCAACATGAACCAATCAGCTTGTGCCAGGTCGTTTAACACTGCGAATATCATCAGTTACGTTAATATACAGACTGAACTATACATTTGTAGGAGTTTCCCTTTCAGATGCAAAATTTATGGGAGGAGAGTATTAAAATGAATCACACAACGCGATTTACAAATGTTTGCACTCGTCAAATTACTAGTATTTGCACCATTATTTAACGCCCCAAAAAAGCATGTCTTAACCTATTTTGCGATTATGTTGCAAGTAGATCAGCCACACTTGATGAGCATCAACTCTGCTTATTTGCGACTACACTAATTTGCGCTGTGCTTGGTATATTGCATTGGTCGATATGTAAATGAGATCCTGCGTCTGTGTTCTTTGATTTGTGCGTTGTCAGTAAATCACCCACAGAAATTTCCACGCCCATCGACGCTGTTTTGGAATTGCGCTGTTTAGTTAACTGTTAATTTGCCCTGTTTAGTAAACCTGGCCTATATCTAACCCATACATATATGTAAGTTTATGTATGTGTAATAAATGTCATTTACATACATATCCATAACATAAACGTTTAATGAATTGTCTAAGACAGGATATTCTAACATCTAAAAATTACGCACTTTCAGGTTTAAATCCACCAAATACGCAAATTCTATGTTTGTCATGTAAAAAAAAAAACCTGACAAACTCTTTGATGAGGTTTTCGACTGGCACTCTGGTTGAGGTGATTTAGCAGAGCAATTAACAGGCTGCTCATTCTGTTCCCTTCTCACGCTGGATCTCTGAACAAGCACTTCACAACTGTCAAAGACTGTGTGAGCGAGTGAGTGCGTATCTGTTTGGTGTGAAAGAGTGATGAGAGGATCAGAGAAGAGTGCAGAAAGTAATAAAAGAGCGATGAGAAGAGGAGGAGGTGCGTGGAGCTGTAGGAAGGCAGTAGCCACACAAACAGCAGGGTCAGTATGGTACAGTAAACAGCAAGTGCAGTGGGAGACCGTGTTACCGTGTGCTCTTCAGATACTCCTCCTTTGTCTCTTTTCTGCCCCTCTGCCGGGGTTTGAGGTTCTGGAGGATGAGGGAATGCGTCTGTGTGCACCACTGAGACAGAGTGCACAGGAACTAAACAAACAGTGAGAGACAGAGTTAGAAAGCTTGGCCTTTTTCAGGACTATTAGCAGTTGCAAAATACGTGGGCTGCAGATAATTTTATTATCTCATTCAGATCTGTTAAATGTCTTTTGGGTCACTCCTACAATGCAGCACATTTTCATCTCGCCATCATACATATATACATAATAAATATATATTTAGTATGATCTTTAATAAAATATTACAATCACAATTTTTAAAGTTGACATTAAATATGATGGAATATTATTATTATTATTATTATTATTTTACATTGATCACAATATTACATTTCACTGTTATATATATATATATATATATATATATACATTTTTTGTTTGTTTTCTTATGTGCCTGTCATTATTATTATTATTATTATTATTATCATTTTATATTTATCAGAATATAACATTTCACAATTACTTG